AGAATGCAGACAAAGATAATTCATCGTCTACCAATCTCATCATTCTGCGAGAAAATTCGGATCCAATGAAGAATAGTTTTGCTTTTGAAGACAAGAATCAAGGCTTAACAAACGAACTGCGTAGATTTTGGGACACTGAATCTCTTGGGATCCAGGACGAGAAGATGGGGAATGATAATTTCCTGAACGAGTTAATATACCACAGCGATGAGAAACGCTTCGAAGTAAACCTGCCATGGAAATTTGAATCTCATCCTGCATCAAATGGATATATGTCGTGTGCGAATCGCCAAAGACAACTCCACAAGCGTCTTAAGAAAGATAAAGATCTGCTCCAAGAGTATGATAAGATTATTCAACAACAAATAACTTCTGGCATTATTAAACCAGTGCCTGAAGAGTATGATACTGATGAAGAGGCTTACTATTTACCACATCACGGCGTCGTTCGGCAAGATAAAGAAACTACCAAGTTGCGTGTGGTATTTGATGGTTCAGCAAAACCCGATAACAGCAGTGTTTCCATCAACGACTGTCTAGAAAAAGGCCCCAACCTGGTTCCGTACCTGTTCGATGTGTTCATCAATTTCAGAGGATACCCAATCGACATGGTCGCAGACATTGAAAAGGCATTCCACCAAGTAAAGATTGCACCAGAAGACCGACGAATGGTTAGATTCCTATGGTTTGATGATCCAAGCAAAGAAAGACCCGAAATTCAAAAGTACCAATTCTGTCGATTAGTGTTTGGCCTAGTCTCAAGTCCTGCCATTCTAACGTCCGTACTGCAGCACCATCTCGCTGTGAATGAAGAAAAGGAACCCAAAATGGTGTCCTTGCTGCGGAAATCATTTTATGTAGATGACTTCGCTGGTGGTGCTTTCGACGATAATGAAGCAGGTGAAGTCTACGAGAAATCCCAGACGTTAATGAGTTCGGGGAGTTTTACCTTACGAAAATGGCATACGAATTCAAAACACTTGCAAGAAAAGATAGCAACAGATAGAGCTGAAAACCAACACGAAAGCAACGATAAAGTAAATAATATCCCCGGGAGTGATCAGGAATGCAAAACAAGAAACGACCCAGTAAAGGTTCTAGGAATACCCTGGAATGTTGACGAGGACACACTTTTCCATGACTATGTTAAATGGTCGAAAGATGCCACTACCCTACCTGCTACAAAACGATCAGTCCTTCGGCTCTCTGCCAGAATTTTCGATCCCATCGGACTGTTAACCCCATTCACAATTAACATGAAAGTCTTCTTTCAAGAGTTATGCTTAGCAAAGGTGGATTGGGACGATGAGTTAAAGGGAGAGCTACTGGAAAAATGGAAAAGGTTGGTGACATAACTTAAACAGCTTGAAAGACATCAAAGTTCCGAGATGTTATTTCACAAGAAAGGAAGAGCCCCCTGTGAAGCACGAGTTACATGGATTCTCTGATGCATGCAACAAAGCATTTGCAGCAGTTGTTTATTGAAATTAATGGTGATATTGAAATTAATCTAGTGGCGTCCAAGACACGAGTGGCTCCAATAAAGCGTCAGTCTATACCTCGTTTAGAGTTGCTTGGAGCAACTATTTTAGTCAAACTTGTCAAATCTGTCAAAGAAGCGATGAGCTCTCTAAAAACGCCTCCTGAAGTGTTCTTGTGGAGCGATTCTTACACCGTCTTGTGTTGGATTCGTAATGACAAAACATGGAAGCCTTATGTTCAAAACAGAGTGAAGGAAATCAGGGAACTTTTCGACCGAGAGAAATGGAGATTCTGTCCGGGAGAGATCAATATAGCCGATCTACCCTCAAGAGGTTGTTCTGCAGAGGAACTAGTTAGAAACCATAGTTGGTGGAAAGGTCCCGAGTTTTTGAATCATTCACCCGAGTACTGGCCTCAAGAGCCACAACAAAGCTACATCGATAACCAGGAGAAAGCATTAGCTGAAATCAAGAAGACCTCACCAACCATCGTGTACTCAATGGCGAATCCATCAATCAACAACAATCACGAAAGTTTCGATATCGGCGATATAATAGACATAAATCGATATAGCACTAAATTGAAACTGTTACGAGTAACAGCAACGGTTATAAGATACGCGAAAAGATGGAGAAACCCTCGACACAAATTCGAAAGTGCTGAGTTGACGGCGCAAGAATTACAGGAAGCTGAAATGCGATGGATCCAGACCGTTCAAGAACACGAACTTCAACACGAGTTAAGTTACCTTATAGGAATGTCAAAAACTCCGACACCCGTGGTCTCTCAATTGGGTTTGTTCCGCGACGACGATGGTCTAATACGATATGACGGAGGGATTGGAAATTCGTCTCAACAAAAAGAATCCAAACAGCCGATTCTCCTACCAGCAACACATTACTTCACAGAGCTACTTATCAAAGAGCAGCACGAAGTTGTACACCACAATGGCATTCGAGACACTCTCAACTCGATTCGTCAGAAATATTGGATCCAACGAGGTAGAGAATCAGTGAAGCGAATAGTAAGAAGATGTGTCGTGTGCAGAAAGATCGAAGCGAAACCTTTCCCAACACCGAAAGCTCCGCAGCTCCCAGCGTGTCGAGTATGCGAAGAACCACCCTTCTCTAATACCGGTATACATTTCGCTGGTCCAGTTTACGTAAAAAAAATCGTCTGGAGCAATTAACAGCAACGACCAAGACAAAGTATACATAGCGCTCTTTACCTGTGCATCTACGAGGGCTTTGCATTTAGAACTAGTAGAAAACATGTCAGCAGCTACCTTTCTTCAAGCGTTTAGACGTTTTTCAAGTCGTAGAGGACTGCCAACGAAGGTCTTGACGGATAATGCAAAAACATTTATAAGTCGGCATCGAAAGAAGTGAGGATGATTTGTCAGTAGAAGAATAACATGGGAGTTTATTACTGAGAAAGCTCCATGGCACGGTGGATTCTGGGAGAGGATGGTGCGAAGTGTTAAACGTTGTCTAAAGAAAGCTATCGGACGCGCTTCGTTATCTTTTGGAGAACTACGCACCCCACTAGTCGAGATTGAAAGCACCCTTAATAATAGACCGTTGACGTTTATGTATGATGACGAACAGAGAATATCGTACGCACTCACACCATCGCATTTGATCCACGGACGACAAATTTCAAGCGCTCCAAATGACAAGCATTACGAGATTATTAGCACAAATCAGTCTCTCACCAAGCGAGCAAAGTACCTTCAACGCGTTTTAAACCAGTTTATCAAACAATTGAGAACAGAATACTTGTTGAATTTAAGAGAATCATCCAAATCGATTCGACCAAACAGCAATGTGCAAATAGCAGTCGGAGATACGGTAATTTTACGGACTGACAATACACGACGCACCTTTTGGAAATTGGCTAAAGTGGAAATGTTGCTTCCCAGTAGCGATGGTACAGTGCGGTCTGCTAAAGTTATGGTTAACGGTGAAAGCGGTAAACGGATCACATTACGGCGACCAATACAGCATTTGATACCCCTCGAAGTAAAGGCAAGTGCGACGGATGACAGCTGTGTCCAGAGCCGTGCGGATCAGCAGAACACAGAAATAAAAGATAACGACCAACTACAAGGACGAACACCGAGACGTAAGGCAGCTGTAGTTGGCGAAATCGTAAGAAGACAACTTAGTTCGTGATGGACGTTGACATGTACATTAATTGAATAACGTTAACATTAATTTAGTATTAGTTTAATTGATCAATTTTATTGATCAAGCCCGGGAGTGTTGTGAACGGTTAAATTGTCGCCGCTATTTTTGTCATAGCGAACAATATGTCAGACATGCGCAAACGAGACGTTTTTTGTTGGTTTCATGAATCGAATCGAAAAACACGTTTATAACGACTTTCAACTTATATTTTATAGTTTATAGTTTAGAAATAAAGTTTATATTACATTTAACTGCGACGTGCAGTACAGCCCGTCTACAGTTCTTCTCCAGCCGAACTCAGTACTCTACAACGGTTTTTTGACAGATGTTTTAAGCGAAAGTATATATCAGAACCTGTAAATATTAGATATCTTTTAGAAATACAGGACAGAAATATATATTTTTAAAGCTTCTGTAAATCAGAAGAGTGCCATAGTCGACTTGATACCAAGAAAAAAATCCACAAACTACTCTTTGAGGACAGAGTTTAGTCAGTATCCAAGAGTGAACACGGAACGTTTTAAATTGTCGTTCGCAAATAGATTAATTTTTAACTATAACCTATTAATATTTACTTGTAACATAAGATATGTATTTTTATCGTTTGATCTATAATAAAAAGACTTTTGAATCGAATTGAATTGATTGGTCAGCGAAAAAATTCGCCGCGAAAAAGTTGGATCAGTTCCTACTTTTTTACTGTTCGCGCGAACAAACTCGCCTAGTGGAAAACGGGCTTAAGCTTAAAAAGCTACTTAAGGTGGCTCAATAAAGTTTTCAAAACTTCAGGTGTATATAAGAGTTTGATAGTTTTTAAACGTCGTATTTTTAGGTTTAATGCAACCTGGGTTCAATGCAGCAGATATCAGTTTCTTTATCTATTTTGATGTTTCTTCTTTCAATTTATGTCATTTTTGGTAACACATGATTCGTTACGATGGCAACACACGCGTACGAAATTAGCCTATTGCTTTGTGTAGAGATGGAAACGAAGCACGGTGTCTGTAATGCTATATAGATACGCACAATTGTCGTTTTCTTCGATAAAAAATTTGACATTACAGAATTTTTTAATTTTGGTATATTGAAAGATTTTTGCAGTACAATACAGTGTACAAAATATCAACATAAGTCACCACACGAAATAATTAGATATAATTAACCGCACTGTTTTCTAAAAATTATAGCATTTCTAATGAAATCAGCAATAACATGCAAACTATTAACTATGCAATGCGTGATAAAACGTACAATGGCGCGAGATGTCGTGAGCAAGTTGCCACGCCAGTCAGGTCATATTTCTAATGATAATTGGGCATCAATTGATTCATATCACAAGATGTTTAATACCATATATATTTAATGCATACGTGTTGTAATGTATATCTAATGAATCGCCGTCCGGCGGTTCGCGAGTATACCTAAAGGCCCATACAGACCGAACGCGATTCGACAACGCGACTTTCAGTTTTTAAAAACAAATAAAACCGCCAACGGATAAAAATTTTACAAGACATGCAGACCAAATAGCTAAAATTGCTTTAGTGGTTCCGAATATTTGAAAAACATAGAAAAATATTAAAGTTAAATGTCATTGAAAATTGAAAATTCGCGTCGCGTTGCCAAATCGCGTCCGGTCTGTATGGGCCTTTTACGATTTTAGGACGGCAATGCGACGACGACGGCCAAAACAAACTCCTTCAAATATTAAATGGTAGTAAAGATAATTCGTCGTATATTATCATGAGTTTTATGGTTGGGAAGAACTCTGCTGAACCCAGTTTGAAGTTGCACTTGTTGCGGCTTGAAATGCAGCCGTTAAGTATCAAGACGTGAAAATCTGCGATTTGGCGTTGTGAACAGAGCGAGGACAATGTTTAAATTATTCTTATATTGTAATTATTCAATTCTTTTCAATGATTTATTGTATTGGTAGCCGCTGCCGTCGCGTTGCCGTCCTAAATCGTAAGGTTTCTAGTAGAGACTCTAGGACGGCAACGTGACGACGAAATTAATACAATGAAATTAATATTTAAGAAAAGAAATTAATAATTAAAATCCCACGGGAGATTTATGTTTTGGCCATCGTGGTTGCTTTGCTGCTCCACATCTTAAGGTCTCTTCTATTAAATACAACACGACCGTTCTGATCAGGTTGTTAACATAGCATATTTTAAAATTCCATACAGACAGTGGCGTCCAGTATATAGTTTTTCTATTACATCTAAACCACTAATAATTCATAATAAAATTAGCAACTATGCATGTTGCATTATTTTGCTCACATGATGATTATGACCCAGTCCTGCACTGAATCAAAATTAATTCAGTCAAGAGAATGAATGAATCCGATTTTAAGACCTCGCAGTATCTTAAAACTTATTGTATAATTATTGAAGTAAACGTTCAATTAATCAAAATAAATCACTCTGTTAATTTAGTCTTTCCGCCATATATCCAACTAACAAATCACTACATGCATGCACATGTTCCATTATCTAGTCTCTTTAATTATTATCGATTATATGCGATTATCCATTGACTGATTATCCATGTTAATATTGTCACCAAATAGAATCAAGTCGGCGTTAGTACTGAATCTACGAATTAATAATTAAATGGAATGTAGTTCAATAACTTCATGCTCGTCTGTTCTAAAATTGCTTTACTTATTTATAAAAAAGAAATAGTCTTAATGTATCATTTAAAATTTATGCGATGAAGGTATTTTTTTGCCATAACCAAAAATCAGTGCAGTCTGCATGTTTATATTTTGTTGCAAATCACAGAGATAAATCTTCTTTAACTAAATGTATTAGCAACTGCACTGGCTAATCGCCTTATAATTCCTTTCTGCCGACTGTTATCTTTTTGAAGGAATACTCGTGTTTCTTCGTTCTCCCTGTACTTTTCCCACGGGTCATAACCAGGTTTTACCATCTTATTTATCTGCTCAGCCCGTTCTCTTGTTTCCTGTAAAGATTTTACACGCTCTTTGAAACCAGGTTTAGCTTGCATTTTTTCTGATTGAATAAGAAGATCAAGATGATCCACTTGTTGCAGCGCATCTTTCTTCAGAGCAATTTCCGAGAGCCGCTTAATGCCACGCTGCATTTCTGCTACAAACGTAAGAACAATTTCCTGAGTGCTTTCAAATTCACCTTTAAGTTGGCTAATGAGTGCTTCGACCTTGGTTTGTCCTTGTACTGCTTTCTGGTACAACGTTTTCTTGCTGTCGTACTCTTTTAGAACTTTTACACGCTTCGTCTCCATCCGATATGCATCATTAATATGACGGCTCGAAGCACAACGATTGGGACATTCATCGCAGCGTCCATTGGTCATTGCTGAACAGCGTGCCTTGTCTTCACTCCTTGGGATGCCGCAAGGGTAGTGGCATGTATAATTGCAAGTGGTACAGTTGGTTACGTACCTCCCAGTTTCCAAGGGCACTTGCACTCTTATTTCATCCTCTACAGTGTACTTAAAGTTCTTGTTGGCATTGATTTCGACGGCATGTTGGCTGAATATGCTCTGTTGTTGCTGAAGTCGGCTCAGAGTGTTTATTCCGCAGTTTATCTTTTCCTGCAAGCCACTTAGTCTAACTTCTAATTGCGCTCTTTCCTGCATTACCTCCTTTGTCAGAACAAGGCTTTTGCTCTCCATTTCATTAAGGCTGTTTAAAAACTTTTCGAAACTAGTAATTCCCATTGACCAGAACATTTGCCCAAAATTATTGTGTTTGGCGTTGTCCACGAAGAGAGCACTGTTATTAAACTTGAAAAAATTCTCTTCGCTATCAAGAATTCCGGCCTCTCGTAGCGACGATAAAGCCTGGGGCTCTTCGCCATCAGCAAAGGTGAATAGAACAGATATGTTCTTCTTGATATCTTTGCCAAACATGGATAGAATTCTGTCAAATACGTAGCGCTGGGTAGATGTAAGCCTTGGGATACCTGCTTGAGCAAGGAAACAGATGGCATCAATGTGATCAATCCCTCCAACACCACTGGTATTGAAAAACGTGCGGATTTGTTCCGTTATCTTTTCATCTTGTTTTATTCCTCTGGTGTCTCCAAAGCCAGGGGTATCCACAATAGTTAGGGTGTATGGCACCTGGGAAACAAATTTAGTAAGAAAATGAACGTTAGTCTATTGCATAAGTTAACATTAGCAACTTTATCGGGATTCTCTTCCGACCAATGGAATTGGGTAAACGACATATGAGTACATAATAAACAGAAATACAACACTACCAAAATGATATATAGAATATCCGCCAAGCCGCAGGATATCGTTGATATAAGGTTCAGATATTTAATATGGTTATAAAAGTAGTGATGTTTATCATATTTTTACTTGGAATGATTGGAGAGAAGCTGATATGTTTTCCACCAGCGTAACAAGAGTTAAGAACACTGATAAGTGAATTTGGCTTTTGTGAATAAGGCTAATTTGCAACATGGATATTTGCCCATGTTAGACTGTTAATTTAAAATCACTTCAATGATTTTAAGTCAAAATATGGTGAAGCATCCCTACTTTATCACCGATTAAAAGTATTTTTTTAACCTTAAAAGTGGGCCACAACCTTGTAACAATAACTTTCAGACATGTCAAGGTATGTGATCCGATAGGACCAGAAAACAAAAAAACTATAAGTGGTCAGCGCACTGCAATGGAATCACTGGAAAGCAGGTTTGATCCCTAAGGCTTATAGTCGCTTGAAATTTCCGTCCACGAAAAACTATATTCTTGTTTTACCGAGGGAGATACCCGAAACTAAATAAAGAAATGTTCACCTTGAAACCTTTTAAGTGAGGCAAAGTGTAACAAGTTACAAATTGCGTTTGGCTCCATATCTGCTTCCCGATGTTCTCTGTTCCTTGGTTGGAAGAATCTTCATGAATCATTTTCAATCGAAACGAATCTTCCCATTTCACACCGAGAACATGATTGATCAGAGCATTCACTGTGGTAGTTTTTCCTGAACCAGTTGATCCAACCATCATTATTACTTTATTTGGTGTATTTGAAAGTTGCGAACAATCTTTTTCACCACCGAGATGGATTTCGTATTTGCGTAACTGACGAACACCATCTTCTTGCACCAAAGTTAAAGGAAGAGCATAAACAGCAGGTTTATTATCCTTAGGTGGTTCAATAAGCTTGCATAAACCAAGTACCTTGACCGGCTGAAACGTCGATTTTGGGGCAGAGGTTGAAAAGGCATCACTGGAAGGACTGCTGTTGCTTTCTCCGGCGTCACCACAGTTAGCCGTGACTTTGAAGAAATAAGACATTAATGGATCAAGATTTTTAAGAGTAAACGTTGTCGTTGAATCTTCAGTATGTTGTACGTTCCTAGTTGTCCAACTTGTATCACTGCTCCATTCGACTTTGTAGTTGATGATCTGAACATCCTTTCCGAGAAGTTGTGGTTTCTCAAAGTCAATTGTTATTGAATCGGAAGTGACTTCACTTAGTTGTGGTTTACCAGGAGGGCTGGCTGGCTTGGTAGTCGCGGAAAATACCTCGCTATACTCACTAACAATGATCTTTCGTACTGCGCAGACTCGGATGATGTAATTTGTAGCTGGTTGAAGTCCAGTAAGAGTAGCCGTTTGCTGACTATCGCCGCTAGATTTAACTTCCACACTTGACCACGTGTCCGTGCTTGCTTCATCTTTGTATTGAACCTTATAACTCATGACATTATTTCCAGCTGAATCATCCCAGGAAAGTTGCAATGTACTTTCTCCCGCTTCTATACCTCGCAGGTTGTTCGGCTTGGGGTATGAACAAAAATCTTCATTCTCAAGCTCTCCCTCTTCATAGAAATAAAGAAAAGCACCGGTATTTCCTCCATAATCACGAGAAAGCGGATTATCCGTGGCGAGAAATTTCACCGAATTGTTTTCTTCATTAACAGATTTCAGAGTTATAAAATGTCTCAATGTTTGACGAACTTTTTTGTGAGTTGATTTTTCGTCTGCCCTGAACGTATTTTTTGTAGAACCTTCATTTGGTACGTCGCCATTGATATATGAATTCATTTTTAAAATTTGGTCGTCTTCTTCGCAAGCAATTTTGAAAGTGCAACAAACCATGAACTCGTTAGTTGGATCATTCACCTCATTCTCTACAGCTTCTGGATTGACAACTGGAGTTTCTCCCAATGACTGAATAATTCCCTGTAACCTCTTGATTTCGTGTTTCTTATCTTCAAGCCAACGTTCAACAATGCTGCAAGAAAATGGTGAGGTTTCTTTCTGCTCAATAAATTTTGCCAGCTCAATTTCCTCTGCTCCTCCACCTCGAATTTTGGGAAGAAGTGACAATATTTTTTTCTGGAAAACAACTTTGTACAACTCAACATTATTCATGAAACTATTAAGTTGCTTTTTTAACCTTGGGAAAAGAACACATACTTCTTCTCTTAGTAGGTCGTTACATTCTGCGATGACAGATTGGAGGTGTTCTTGCATTGTAGCGGTCTTGCTTACTAAGTCAGCACTGATTTCTCTCACCATTCTTTGGCATTTGCTGTCGATATTACTTAATGGACACAAATATACTTGAATTGGAACTGCGTTCTCTCCATTTTCACCAATTAGTGAGGGTAACTGCTTATAAATTCTAACTGCGTCTTCATAATTTGTTGGACTTTCGTTTGTACGGAAATCTCCATACATCTTGCACTGCATGTTTTCGGTATTTTTCTTGTGCTCTTCTGTGATCTCAACAGAACCACGTCCATCCACAGAAATGCCTGGCAGGGATTTCACTAACACTTCCATATTTCCATGTACTTCTTTTAAAGATTCGTCTTTCGAAAGTTCCTTGTCAAATACCATGAATGCCTTTGCTCCATATAGTATACCAACCACTACATCCGTTGCTATATCTGTTTCAAAAACCTCAGGATATTGAATTTTTCCTGTTCCTAAATGCTCCATTGTCAGCTGTTTAAGTTCCGTTGTTGTTTCATATTTCAGCACGACACGAGATTGTCGCTTCGATGTTTTGGTATCATTCAAATACTTTGCCGCTCCTTCCACATTCACTAGCCCAGAAAGAAAGCTTAACTTTAGGCTTGCTTCTATGTTAAGAGCACTAGCTTTATCTTCAATTGCGTTTTCCATGAATACTTCGGAATTGGTAAATGGTCTGGGTATAATGTTACGGGCGGCATTCAAATGATCAGGAGACCACAACGTTTTGCCAAGAATTAACTTGTCTGAACGACGGTCGTAAAGCATCCCCAAGTCAAACGGTCGTCCAAGGGCAGAAATCATTTTGCTGTAAAGAACAATTAGAAAATGGTTGATATTACTTATAGCAATAAGTTTTTCGTTTGTTTGCATGGCAAAAAATATATTATTTGCATGCACCGACAAGGATTCGGATTTCGTAGTTAATTCTAATTTCGTAGTTAAAACTATAGAGCAGTGAAAAATTACTTATTTCATTGGACAGGCAATAGAAGCTGAACAAATTAGTCAGGTTATTGTAGCCAGTGTACAGACTGTATTATGCTATCTCAAACTCATTAATAATTCATGAGTAAATTAGCCAACCATATTGCTTTATTTTGCTCACATGATAATACTGGATACCTGATGAAGTGTATTCATCCAGTCCTAGGACTGGATCAAAATTAATTCAGTCTTTGGACTGGATCAAAATTAATTCACCTCACTTTAAGTAGTGATATATTCATACGAAATTTCAAATCCTCCAATTCGAACTGGACTATATTTCAAATCCTCGCATTTTGATCAAATTGCGCGGAGTTGAAATCTAGTGCAGTCCTCTTAGTCGGATTTGAAATATTACATAATGTGAAAATTCGTGGTATTGCTTGTCGACCCCCAACTGCGCTACCCAGATATGGGTAGTTGATTCTGCCGGATTGGTCACACTTCATAAACGTATAATTTTTGCAGCACTGGCTTGAATATAGTGTCATTTTCAAGGGGCACAGTGAGTTTGGTTTCTGAGGATGACCTCAATGTTCTGCCAGGAGCGTAGAACTCCAGCTTCAAGTATGAAGGCCACTGATCAAAGTACAAGGCCTTAATATAGCTTGGGCCAAATGAAATGTTTATTTTCATCTCGTTGTTGCATTTGATTTGTTCAATTAGATATCACATTAATCTGCAGTACAGTAGAAACATTTTTGCATCGAAAACATAGTGGTTTAAAGAAATAAAATTTACAATGACAGAACATCAAGTGCCAAGAAAATATTATTTCGATTTTGAGTCCAGCGTTCGTTGATACGTTGAAGTCCAGCGTACGTTGATACAGCTATGTTATAGCGGCTCTCTACACTATACTAAAAATACAGAAAAAGTCGGAAATGACAAAATGTGCCCTATAATGCCAAACATTTTACTGTTGCATTGGAAAGAACATTTAAACTACCGAGTAACTGGTTTTCCAGATTTTTGTTCCTAATTTGATTCGTTTTAGTATAATTTAAATAAGTACTAACGCTTTAATTAGAATACCGACCGCGATTATGTCAATTTATTGGCCTATAAACGAGAATATCTCGTTGGTTTCATATAAATATGAAGCAAATGAAATACCACATACATTTTTTCAAATGTAGCTAGTATTTTAATATATTAACTAGCTGAATTGTCAGACTAAAAAACTACAATACAAGTTCTGAAAGAATTTGCCTTATTTGTGGAACACGGCGGCATGCATTCCAGATGATCTTGATACGCGGAAAAATACTGGCACTAGTTGTTAAATAGAAATCCATTTTATGATTAAAACAACTGAATATCTCCTGTAATATACTTTATTTCGATTCCATATTTTTGTCAGAGCTATAGTTCTCATAACCAAACATAATTACGAAATTTCAACTAGTTTCATAAAGAATAACGAAAGATATAATTGACTGAATACACCAAAATGGATTTCTATTCGGACAACCCTTTCTGAGCGCTAATTGGCTAAAGTACGAACACGAGATCACCTGGTTCGTATTTATTAATGCCATAGTGTGCGCGAATAAAAAATTTTGACTAAAATTCTTTCAAACTACAAAGGAATTCTTCCTTGCTTTTGCTCTCGAGTTCTGTAATACAGGGTCTATCAAAAAAGGAGACCTTTAGAAATCAAACATATTGTTAAAATTTGAATGCCTTCTCAAATTTGAATGCCTATTCTCTTAAATGATGTATCTCAGTATGCCTCAAGTAGAGGAATGAAGTTTAACAGTAAGAAATGTAAGGAGATGACAGATGGTTCGCCAATGCAATCAGTATCCTCCTTTAAACTGCTCGGTGTGCTACTGAGAGAGGATTTATCTTGGTGTGATCATGTCGACTATGTGATTAAAAAAGCAAATCCCAGACTCTATGCATTGCGGAAGTTAAAAAAGGCTGGGTTAAGCGATAAAGACCTTGTCACTATATATTCCTCCTTCATTCGGTCCCGAATTGAGTACGCTTCACCAGCGTGGTCAACGCTGACCCAAGGCCAGTCTAACCTTATCGAATCGATACAGAGAAGAGCATTACGTATCTTGCTTCCCGAAATGTCGTATCAAGACGCATTGAATTATACCGGTCTAAAAAAGTTAAGTACGCGTAGACATAATTCCTGTGAACAATTTATCCGGAAATTGAAGCTTGACAATGGTCCTATAAATCCTCTTAAGGATGTTGTTGCAACTCGTATACATCCAACTACTCATAATTATAATCTTAGGTCCGAATCAAGCTTGTCACTCCAAACGAACACAGAACGGTTTCAAAATTTTATAACTGTTAAATATTAATGTATTATTGATTTAGTAGTACTCGTGTATATTAATTCAGGGACCCAATTATAATTTGTGGACAGATTTAAACTGACTATTCAGAACGAACATTGAACGGTTTGAACTCAATTTTATCTGTGAAATTTAATTTTTAATGTATTTACTTATAATCATGTAATTCAGTAGAGACTGCAATGTGATTAATTAAACCGATTATTATTATTATTATTATTATTATTAATTGCACATATGCTGAACCGTGGTGCGTGAAATATAATGAGTGCATGTATTAGAAAAAGGAGACTTCATTTAGAAATCATTACACCATTGTTATAATTTGAATCCTGGAGCACTTTGCGATCTACGTACAGTATGCCTGGCAGATTGTTCCTAGGAGCAGACAATCTTTTATATAAACGTTATTTCAATTTCTAAAGATCTCCTTTTTCAAATATATGCACTCCATCAATATTTCACGCATTAGTGCCTGGTCCCCATGTTGGACTCTAATGCAATTAATGCCCTCAGGGGGTCTGTGTCCCCATGTTGGGCATGATATATTTCAATCTAACATTTTTAATGTATGCTACATCGATTTGTGAGTCTATGGGATGAGGGTGACCTATGGGAGCACTCCATCCCCACAAATGAGCAGCATGCACATTCCCCATAGATGAACTCCCTCCCCCTGAAATTTTTTGAGATAAATTTTAAATATTGGCGAGTGTGGCTGAGACATTCAACAGTGTTGACGAAGGAAGTTGTATATATCGTTCATAACAGTCTGAGGACCACCGACCCAAAGTTTTTATGAGCCAGGAAGGTAACTTCGCTGTGGCTGCCGTAGTTCAGCACCGATTCTGTAGCTATGACCGGCAAAGTTTGAAGCGTTGAATCCGGCTTGACTGAGCAATTTTCTTGTTTCAAGTGTTAGGGCCTGTTTTGTAAGTGGTTTACCCGCAGAATTTACAAACAGAGGCCCTGATTTTGGCTGCCTTCTGGCTAAATACTCTTTCATGGCCAACACTGGGCAGAGAGGTGTGTGTGTTCCTCCAATACTTATGGTATGTCCCACCCGAAAGGGGTCAGTTTTGGATTCTTTTATCCGTATGGACATAGCAGTGGATGGTTGTAGGTCGTTGGAAAAAACAACGTCTTCAGGCATGAGGTGCGAATCTGAATTGAATATTGAGTTACAAGTTAACTCTCCAAGCCGCAGAAAGCAAAAAAATGCCAATGTTATGGCAGCCCAAACCATAATTGAGTCGAAATGTGTTGTGACAGGTATTGCCAGCATCATGTGAAAAAGTTTTAAATGATGGATTGTTATTGGAAGGCGCACTCTTTGCTCATCGCCTTGGGAACGTTTTATACCCCGAAGAACCAGCTGGAGACGTGACATCTTTTGACAATCCAATGGAAAACCATTTCGTATGTGAAAATGACGAACCGCTGCAAGATAGTTTTTTATAGATGTGTGTTTGATGGTTTTGGCTAAATAGGCTGAAAATTGCACGAGTGTTTCTTCACTTGTTGGTAGAAGGTGCTTTCCTTCATGGGGTCGATATAATTTTACAAAAGCAATAAACCGTTTCTCACCAGCACTGTATGTCTGTTTGGTTGAGGCGGCCACAGACAAATCAATGTAATATTCTATGTCATTCTTCAGAAGGACTGGAATTTTTTGAGGGTTGACATCTGCTTGAGGCATTAGGAGTCGAAACCTTTGAAACTGGAAACGAGAAAGGGAATCAGCAATCTCATTATACTTTCCTGGTATGTGCTTGGCCCGAAGGTATATATTGTACTTTAAGGTCAACAGTGTGAGATGACGGAGAAAATCCATTACCCGGGAAATTCGTGATCGTTTGGAATTAATAATGTTGACAACTGATTCATTATCACAGTTCAGGATTATCCGTTTGTTTTGAAGGGCTTCCCCCCATATGTGACATGCAACTACTATGGCAAACAATTCTTGCCAAGCAATACTACTAATCTCGGGCTGTCCTAATTGTTGATGGGGTTCCCATTTTCCTTGAAACCATTTCCCCCCGAAAATCCCCCCGTAGCCCAACACCCCCGATGCATCAGTGTGGAGCTGAAGGCATTCAGAGTTTTCCCATGCAGAAGACAAGAAAAAACTGGCACCATTCCAGTTAACGATAAACTGTTTCCACATCTCAAGATCCTTAAAAAAGCCTGCACTAAGCTTTATGTGGTGGTGGGGCTGTCTTATGTTTCTTGTCAATTCAATCATTCTTTGTAAATAAGGGCGACCCGGTGGGATAACCTTGCATGCAAAATTTAAGGTACCTATAAGTGACTGAAGTTCTTTCAAAGTACATGACCGCCTTTTTTGGAATGTGTTGAAAACTGCTCGGAGGCGTTCAATTTTGTCATCCGGCAGCCGTGCTTCCATTCGAACGCTGTCCAGGATAATGCCCATAAACTCTAACACAGTTGCAGGACCTTGTGTCTTGCCCGGGGCTAATGGGATGTTAAGGTTCTTAAATGTAAGCATCATGGCAGTTAGACTTTGTTGGCAAGTGCTATAGTGTGGGGGCAGTTGGGATGGTGGCTCCATGATAAGAAAATCATCCAAAATATGACATACAAATGAAATCATGCACTTATTTTGTAAGATCCATTCAATAGCATCAGAAAGTTGGTTGAACAGATATGGAGCACTTCGTAGGCCGAAAGGTAAAACTTTGTCATAATAGTATTTCCCCTCCCAATACATACCGAGAAGCTCATAGTCGTCCGGGTGCACAGGAATGAGACGAAAGGCGGATTCAATGTCAGTTTTAGCCAGAAAACAGCCGCGGCCGAAACGCTTAATGCCTTCAATCGCATTGTCAATTGTCACATAATGGAGACTAAAATCTTCCTTTGGAATTGATGCATTAATACTTGTTGC